TAAACATGAATAGTATCAAGAAATAAATAGTGATAAACGATTCAAAGGATTCGATGCATGATCTGCTTTTTAAAATATTGTTGTCATATCTGTAGATGATGACATGGCCCAAGATTCATGAGAAACGTATCGAAGCTATTAAATGTAATATGCATCTTATAAACTCTATTAACAATCTAGATAAAACTCCATTCTTTGATAGACACCTGAGTATGATATGGCTTGGACGTTTTCAAAACTTGATGTTGGTTTTGCATCATCTTCTGATACAATATGGTCATCATTGCTGTTGTTTGATTCTTCAATACCATCTTCTTCATCATTAGCTTCTACATCGTTCTCCTCTTCAATGTCATATTCATATTCATCATCATCTTCTTCTTCTTGTTCGGCATCCTGGCCATCATGATCCCCATCTTCTTCTTCAACACCACCACGTTCATCATGACCATCATCTTCTTCATCACCACCGCATTCATCATCGTCATCTTCTTCATCACTGTCTTTGTCATCAATGACAAGTGTTTCTTCTTCAGTCAAACTATTCAATTTTAATAGTTGTTTTGCTATTTGTGATGATTGTTGAATATCGAACAGATTATTTCTAGTTAGATCAACATTCATTCCTACATTTTCTGCCATTTGTTGTGCTACTTCATAAGCTTTGAAGATGATTTCTTCGACATAATCCACATGAAAATAAATATTTTTCTCATTAATTTTCGATCCAGTATCATCAATAAGTCTTTTAACTTTGTGGTGAACCGGAAAAATAATTTTATCGTATTCATTTGTTAATTCAAATTGTTTGAGCTCTGTAAGAGCATTAAGTTTATCTATTCTTTTAAGAAATTGCTTGATAGTGAAATTAATTCGGGTAGAGTAAATTCCTGATAATGATCGTGCGTCACGAAATATATTCTCACAATGTTGTGATGAAAACAAATGAACATTATCAGCAACTGATTGAGGAAGAATATCATGTTCTATTAACAAATAAAGGTAAATCAAAGAGTGAGCATTTAATTCTAATGATATCAATGCATTTGATGTAATGAAATAACTTTGTTCATTAGATTTTTTGTTGATTTTAACAGATGATTTACGAATTTTTTTAGTAATACGTAACCATATTCTCCATAATCGAACATAGAAAACTACAATCCAAGCGTAAAATACTCTATCCAGTAAAGAAATTTTCGATTGTGTATATGTCATTATTAACAAATTCAAAATCAACATATAATTGTATGTAGCTTTCCATTGATCATTGATCATTAATAGATTTAATACACTATCACTAGATATACGTTGACAAGAAATAAAATTTTGTTTATCATGGATATTCAAGTCAGATTTTGACAAATTATGATCCATCTTGTTTGTATTCTTGATGAGGTCATAAAGATGTTTGATTGATACTTTATATAATCCCATTTTTAATTGTACATGTTTAGATAATACACGATTACGAATCTTCGTACATAAGTGTGTACCATCTTGCAAGAATATAAACAATTGAGATTGTCCTAAGAAATACCAATTCGACCATGTTGATGGAATTTTCACGGTGAACAATAACTTATCATTACAGATATCAAGTGTTTGAGTGTTAACAAAAAAGTTTGATGCTAAGCGCATAGCGCGCAAATATTTCGGATCACCGTCGGTAGCATATCCGAGGACCCGAACATTTCGTGCATAAAATTGTTGATAAATATATAACCACCGTTTCAGAATATCTATAGAATTTATCTTGTTGTCTGTCCCATACGCAGACAAAACTGTAGCTGATGGTACATATGAATCAGAAGTAGAAATAGGTTGTACTAAATGTACATTGACTAAATTTGAACGTGGTGTTGTTTCAATTGCATGTTTAAGATCATCGAAAGAATTAAATTGAGAAGAATTTTCTGTTGGAACACCATTTAAAACAGGTATTACTAATCCGTTAAAAATATTAAATGTTGAATCATATTCTACACGAGGTATTATTGCCGAACAATCTTCTGACATGAATACATATTGGCATTGATAGGAACTAAGATAATTTACACACTCATCGAATCTAAATCTTGCTTCTGAGTAAGGATTTTGTGTATAAAATTTTTTAACGGTATAAACTGATGGCAATAAGAATTTCAAATTGATACGAACGTATTCGTAAACATAAACACCTGCTAATATGAAAAAACAAGTTGCAAATCGTAATACAGAAGTTGGATATCGATAATTATTAGGTGGACGATGTCTGTTCGAATCAATTGTATTCAATAATGTGAACAAAATATCTGATTTCTGGAGTTTATCATACACAATCTGAATGATTTGCAATATAACTCAAATCATTGATATATTCAGGATTAATCAGTACTAACCTCTTGTTCAGATTTTTTTTTATTATGTTTGGTTGATGAGTAAAATCGAATTTGTTTGTCATTTTCATTGATTTTACGTTTCTTCGATTGTGATGAATGGTTCGAATTGATATTCTGCAATGCACAGTGAAAAACGAAATCAAATATATTTTTCATATAACGTACTTGATCATTGACAACTGTTGAATATTGATTGTTTGATGGTAAACTTCCTGTTTTTGGCTGTTCCTTGTTCACTAGTTGCTAAAATAAAGAAATTATCTTGAAACACACATGCTTTTTATGCAACGAGTATATAACAGTATTTCGTTGTCAAGTTTGACTCCTAACAATATATCAATTATGCATGTAATTATCTCTTTTAATCCTTCGATAACATTTCGTGATGTGAAACTTGTTTAAAAGCAATAATCAATTGAGAAATTATTATTAAAAATGATGTAAAACTATTATTCTTCTCTGGGCAATGCATTTGATATGTATCACAAAAAATTTATCTATAAAATTTAGTAATTATCTTCATTTCTCAGTGTATTCCAGAGACATTCAACTTCATATCAGTTTCAAAATAATCATGTTCAAAGAAAAACCTTATTAATGAAAAAAAACCACTAAACATACTTGTTTTGATTTTGATGATGAAATATATGAAATAGAACTTTGCGTTCCACCACCTGTAGCCAGTATATTAGATATTCGTTGATTACCATCTCTGTTTTAGAAAAATGACATATCTCTCGTATATTGTATTTCAAAAGACTGACCGATTTATTGTTGTTGTAGATGATGTATTATTATATGTGTTACCATCTAATTCATATAGAGATTTTTCATTCTGACTATAACTAATCATCAACAGAAAAACGAAGAATCTAAAGTACTATACAGATTTTCAAATACTCACGACTTTTTTGTTGTTACTGCTGCTGTATTATCAATATCTCCAATGCTGTTGTTGATATGTTTATTCAGTATATTTTGAGTAGTCAAGAGATTATTTTCATTTCTTGAAGATTCTTCATCAACATCCATTTGATCCATTTCATCTACACCTTTTTGATCATCAATTCCTTGACTTGTATTTTTCATTAAAAATTTTAATCCATTATTATCATTTCTGAGGTGTTTGATTAAATTTGATAGTTGAAATCGATTATGATTAAAAAATAACTTTATCCGATCACCACAAATACATTGAACAGAACAACGTGGTACAGATTGATCATCTATATCCTCAATCATAATACCAAAATCATTTGCTGATATATTTACATAAGTACGACGATGAATATGATTCTTCATATTTGTTAATATTTTTCCAATGGATTCTTGTATTGATGTGGCATATTTTTTCATATTCGTTTCACTGTCGCTTGAACTGGTGTTAAGTGATGATGATGTTGATCGATGTTTATTCAATCGATTAAATTTTGTTTGATCGGTGAATTGACGTTTTCTTTTCTTGACAATATTTTGAGCTGATTTTAATAATAAGATCATCTTGTTTTTGGTTCCAATTTTTAATAATATTTTTCCTTCAGATATGTTGCATATTTCGGTTTTTAAATAAATTAATTCACGAGTAGCATTTTCATCATTGGGTTTTTCAAATATTTCCAGGAGTTCTTGTGTACTAGTTCCACTTAATATCAAATAATTATCAATATCATGAAATCGAAGGATCTTTTCAACATTTTTTCCATAGTGTTCTTGCACATGTTGATAAAATGTTTCGCCTGAAAAGGCGATAAGCTGTTCTATTGGGATATCATCCATGAGGCAATTTCAATAATGTCAAAATGTCAATAATGAAACAATAAAATGGTACACGTATAAATTAATTAAAAAGCAAATAAATACATATTTCAGTGATTAAGTATAAACTTGTTGTCAATCAGTTATGTGTCAAACGTCAAACGATTTCTTCTTGACAACTTTAATTCAA